ACATTATTTAAAGCATTTGAGAGGATATGTGTGTATAATAGGGAAATACCATGCCATTTTATATGGGTGACCTGAGTTGCTATAGATTTGGTACCCATTCAGGTCCTAGACCCAAGTGTCCATTAAATGGATGGTTCTATTGCTGTCTGCCATGCTCTTTAGTTACATTAGTGCTTGCTTTATATTTTTAGGTACTGTGTTGAGTGCATATATACTGAAAATTATATCCTTTTGATAATCATTACACTCATAATGTTATACTGATTTATATTTTTGTGGCAATTCTATTGTGTCTGATACAGATATAGCCACTTATCTCTTTTTCATCAGATAGATATTTTTAGACATATTCATTTTCAGCCTACATATGTCTTATACTTAGCAGAAACAGATGACTTATATATGGATTTTATCTTGCTTTTTACCATTCAGCCCTCTGTGGTTTTTGATTGGAGATCTTAAGCCATTTGAATTTAGAATAATTCTTTATGAGTAGGGATTTACTGTTGATTGGCTCATTTCTTTCCAAATGTTACATAGCACAAAGTGCTTTCCTTATAAGCTGTCTTCATTTATGATGTTATAGTTTTAGAAGTCCTGTCATAATTTTTATCAACTGTCTGCTAGGTTTTTTTTCTGTTACTGTGCAGCTTACATGGGACATCATATAATTATAGTATTTTAAGCTAATTACAGCTCAGTATTGGTCACATTTTTAATAAATGTATGCCAGAGTGTGAGGGTAGGATGGCTGTTGGGTCCAGTTATAAACTGAGGTCAAATGATCACTTCTCTCTCCTTCATCCATGGATAGGATCTCCTTTGCTAAGCTTTGCTGCATGGATTTGAAGTATAGTTGTAGCATGCAACATGGTAGCATGAAATTGCTTTTCCTATCTTTCTCATTGAATTTTCTTCCTATCTTTGTGCCCCACTTATATGCTGCTTTCTCACACTGGTATAGTAGCCTTGAATGGCAGCATCTTCTTTAAGCTAAGTATAGTTTTCCATGATGAGATGATCCCTGGGCACTCTTCCTTCTCTTTCTTAGTGATACCACTATTGACAATCAGGAAGTCTTAGTTCAAAAGAGATCAGGAAGGAGTAGAGATTATAGGTGTTAAGAAATAAGGAATAGACGTGAATTCCTTCCATGGGTCTTCACTTCCTATGCCCAAACAGCTGCTGTGGCTTTGTGTGTCAAAGTAAGATGAGAACCACTGGAGCATCCTGTTGAAATTCTGCTTTTTCAGGACTTTGATATTCACTCCAGTCCCAATAGGCTAACTTCATGAGCCAAAATTCCCAAGAATCAGATTCAGCCTGCATTACAGATTTTCTTTTTACTGTAGCATTATTACCAATAGTTTTTTATTTTAATTAACTATTTATTTATTAGGTTTTTTTGAGACAGGGTTTCTCTGTGGCTTTGGAGGCTGTTCTGAAACTAGCTCTTGTAGACCAGGCTGGTCTCGAACTCACAAAGATCCACCTACCTCTGCCTCCTGAGTGCTGGGATTAAAGGCATGTGCCACCAAAGCCCAGCTTCCAGTAGTTTTTTAGAGAACAAGAACAGAATGGTCATTATTCATACAAATTCCAGGAGACTGTATTAGTTTCCTTATAAAAAATTTAAAAATTGGAAGCAAGTTCTTGTGCATGTGTGTTTATGTGTGAACAGAAGTGCAGAAAGAAGCAAAGAGGGAAATAGTATGAAGGCCAATTTTAGTTTGCTTTCCTCTACCTGGTTCAGAAAGAAATAGACATGATTTATCAAATGTGCTTTCAAATTGTTCTGCTTATTTCTCTCATAATATCTGCATTTTGAAGTATATATTTTATAATCTATACATCTTTATTTTTAATTCCATTTTGCATGTTAGAGGTTTAGATTCAATCTCATTCAGTGTTGAATTTTACTTACTTATACCTGGCTTATCCATAACAGTGTTTTTAACATAGGTTTCTTTCTCATCTTTGGGTTGTTAAACACATTCTTCTTTTATTATTTGTCTTCTGTCCTTTGTATAATTTTGAGGTTATATTTTTTTTAAAATTTCATTTTACATTCCAACAAAGTTCTCCCTACTAGCTCTCTTCTCACCCCTACTTGCCTCCCCCTCCCAGCCCAACCCCTATCCTCTCCTGCCAACAGGTAAGGGCTCCCATGAGGAATCAACAAATTCTGGCACATTAAGTTGGAGCAGGACCAACACCCCCCACCCCCGATTTAAGGTTGAATATGGCATTAACTTATAGGGAATGTGTTCCAACAAGCTAGCTCATGAACCACGGATAGAGCCAGCAGATCCTACTGCCAGGAGCCCCTCAGATAGCCCAAGCTTCACAGTTGTCTTACACATACAGAGGGTCCAGCTCAGTCCTATGGAGGTTCTAATGCTGCCAGTCCAAAAGTTCATGAGTTTCCATGAGCTTGGGTCAGCTGTCTCTGTAGATTTCTTCATCATGATCTTGACCTCCCTTGCTCATGTATTCCCTCCTATATTGTATGTTGTATATTGTATATTGTGTATTGTATATTGTATATTGTATATTCTATATTCTATATTCTTGGAGCTCTCAGCTTGGTGCTTGGTTGTGGATCTCTGCATCTGGTTCCATCATTACTGGATGATGGCTCTATGATGATAGTTGGGGTATTCACCAATCTGATTACAAGGGAAGGCCAGTTCAGGCACCCTCTCCACTACTGCTAGGAGTCTTACCTGGGGTCATCCTTGTGGATTCTTGGTAATTTCCCTAGCACCAAGTTTCTCCCTAACCCCATAGTGGCTCTATCAAGATTTATCTTTCCTTGCTTTCCCTCTCAATCTTGCCCCTTAACCATCCTGTTCCCTCATGTTCTCATTCCCCAATCCACTCCCGATTATTGACCCCCTCACCACCAGCTTACTCAGGAAATCTCATCTAATTCTCCTTCCCAGGGAAATCCATATGTCCCTATAATTTAATTACAATATTTCCCCTTATCTTTCTTCCCTCCAAACACATCCATATACCCCTCCCCATTCTCCTTCAAATCACTGTTATTGCAAGCATTTACATATGCATATATTTATATATAATCCTAAATATAACCTAGTGAATTCATATAATGATACTAGTATACATGTTTTCAGGGCTGACTATTTGGCAAAGAACAATCATTTGGTGTGCTTTTCCCTGTTAGGACCACCTCTCATGCCCCAAGCTTTCCTCAATTGCCTATAATCATTTGTGTAGGGTTTAGGCCTCCTGGTTGGTTCTCTAACTTGTTTGGTATGATCATTGGTGTCATCCTCTTCAGCTCATGTTTGGGCAGTCATGTTGGTGGGATTAAACAAGTATAATTTCTGATGTTACTTGGAGAGACAATCTACCTGAACTTGTGACTCTTAAAGTCTTTCCACCTCATCTTTCTCAATATTCTCTTAGGAGTATTTTGTAGATTATTTATTGGGACTGGGATCCACAACTCTACATTTTGATTGGTTGTGGGTTTCTTAATGGATTCCATGTGTTGAAAAGAGAAGTTTGCTTGATGAAGAGTGAAGACTGCATTTATCTGTGGGTATAAGGACAAACCTTTAGATTGTTGTCAGGAATTATGCTGGTATACTAAGTTAGTAGTAGTATATTCTCCCCCAATAACCACGATTCATAGTCACTGAGTAGTTTTAGGTAGGTTTCCAGTACCAGGCATAGTCTCCTGCTTGTTGAGCAGGTCTGAAATTTCATTAGAGAATAGTTGCATGCTTTTTTGTAAGAGTCAACTGGACCCCTGAGGAAGGCAAACTGACAGACAGCAGTGTCAAGCTCAGAAAGCATGAACTTTCCAATGCTGGATTTCAGTGTGTGCTGTTTCTTCCATGCTGTGCTCCTTCTGTGGCATGGGGTAACAAAAATGACCTCCTTATGAGCAAGGGAATTGGCACACACATTCTCGCAATGATATTTTGGTGACACATTTCCTTCTTCTTTATGCTAACTTGAAATACATCAGTGTTTGTGACAGCCAAGCATACACCTAAGAAATTATCCCATACATTTGCATCTAATTACAGCTCAGTTGTACCTCCTACTGACATCATAATCTGTTTCGTGACAATTGTAGAACACTAGGAGAAAACTATACGCCTGCATCAGACTTTTTAGTAAGACTGTGTCAATACTAGCTTTCAGAGAGAAATACTTAAAATCTGTATTTCAAAATCACAGGTACCTGCTTCAGTGAGAGAAATACTTTTATGAAAAGCTTAATATGACACAAATCATCACAACAGGAGTATAGATTCCTGCCTTAAATCAAGATCATAGTTCTGAACATTAAGTTCTGTATAGAGTATAAGAAATACTGCTTTGGCAATGTGAGCTATTCTAGACACAAATTATGAAAGTTGCATAAGCGAGATAGGTGGTCCAAGCTCATTCCCAAGTGTGTCATTTTTTGTGGAGAGGATAATTGACTGCTGCAGTATATATATGAATTTGTTTTATTTTTAAAACAATAATGGAGAAATGATCACTATGCAGAATCCAAAGTTTATTGCCTCTCATTGAGGCTAAATTTTAAAATATATAGATTAAATGAGCAAAAATTTGATCTTCCTGTGGGTATGTTTAAAGAGCAATATTCAACAATGCTGAAAATCCACAAGAATCTCCATACATTGTGATTATTTTCCTAAAAGAAATGCAGAAACAAAGAGCACATATCTACCCAGATGCAGCCAATGCTTGTCCTTCACATGGCATTACTGGCTGTTATTAAGAGTCACTTGATCAAGCTGGATAGATATTTCTTGAAATGATGCATGGTTTGCCGTGCATGCCTTCATTGTGCTTACTGCCATTATGGAATAACGCGTCTTATTGGGAAAGACAGTGATTATTTCTGTGGAATCTTGTTCAATAAGATTCTATAATAACAGTGGTATTTTGTGAATCATTTCAGATTTCAG